TGAGTTGATGGAAGTGTTGAGTATTATTTGGTTGTGTGGTTTTGATTTTAATGGCTCCGTGAAGAGTTGTTGTGTGGGGGGTTATGTTTGGTAGAAGCAGCAAGACTTATTTGTTGTGGCCTTGGGCGTTGTGTGAATGGTGTGGGCTATCTGTGGCCAGGGAGGATGGGTGTGATGTTGTGTCACTAGCTGTTGTTGAGTGCGTTAGGCAGCTGGGCATGTGGTGTATTGCAGGATAGCTGAGGCTAGCATCAAGTGGGTGGTAAAAAAATGGTGTTATTACTATTTGATAAATGAGCAAACAATTCTTTGTTCATTTATCAAATGAGCAAATAATTCTTTGCTCATTTGATAAATGAGCAACAATTCTTTGTTTATTTTGTCAAATGAGCAAAAGTTCATTGTCCATATACAAAATAAGTAAACAATTCTTTGCTCATTTATCAAATGAGCACATAATTCTTTGCTCATTTATCAGATGAGCAAACAAATCTTTGCTCATTTATCAAATGAGCAACAATTCTTTGTTCATTTTATCAAATGAGCAAACAATTCTTTGTTGATTTATCAAATGAGCTGATTAAAAATTTATAACATAGAAAATGATTTAAAACATATGATAAACCTATTAGGTCAATTGGAAGAGTACTATGCAAATGCATAGGGGATGTAGGTTCAATTCCTACATAGGTTATCTCTATAAACAAAATTAATTAAAAAAAAAATAAAAGTTCAAATTCGTACTAAGTTATATGAGCAAAAAAATGGTTTGAAATGATTTATAACTATATAAACTTTGTTACAATTTAACTCTCATACAAACTTGTGTCTCCACATTACATAAAAGAACCTACGTGGGATTTGAACCTACATCTTTTGTGCATTTGCACAATACTCTACCCTTGAGCTAGTAGGCTAACGTATTTAAAACATTCAAACACACTCACAAATGAGCATTAATTTGATAAAATGAGCAAGAATCTAATATATTTGTTCGATCAAAATGAACGCCAGAAGGAGGAAATAATGCTATTTCCAACACAAGATAATCAAATTCAGTTTCTATCATTGAACTAACCAAGCATATTTTTGTAACAAAGGAACCAATAGTAGTCTTCAGATCTCCATCCAAAAAGTCATAGTAAACCAAATTTTCTACATTAGAAAAGTTAAAAGATAGAAAGACCAGACGAGCAAGATAAGGACGTCTATAATCAGATCCTGTTAAATCTGTAAAGCAAGATAGAGAAACACAATGCACTTTAGGTATATACTTTGAAGCCTTCAATGGTTTGCTATTCTTGCAGATTCCTATTGCTTCTTGACTTTTACAGAATAGGTTGTCATCAAGTCTGCCACAAATTACATGGGTTCTTAATTATTCCAGCAATAAAATGATTATATAGATACCAACAAACAGCTGAATCAATTCAAGATTAAGACAAACCAAAAGCAATGTATACAATAGTACTTACAGAATGCTGTGACTGTATCCTCCTAAATTAAGTTCTTCAATGAAATTATTTCGCAAATCTATAAGGCGAAGCTCACTACTGAAGCCGGTCCCAATATTGACAGTGCCATTGAGTAACCTGTTTTCAAACACATAGAATTAATTTACTAGTAAAATTACAATCACTTTATTGATTAATTTCACATTTAGCTTCTGAGACAAAATCACCAAAGTAAGGTAAAAAAAAGAAGCAAAAGGTTAAAAAAATGAGAGGGATAATCATACACAGTTTGCAAATTGGATTGGTTGAACACACCTGCAGGTAGTTGCCCACTTAAGCTAGAGTTTTCCATCCTTCTGTGCAACCTCAACCAGTAAATTAAATCTACACAAAAGAGTGAGAAAGAAACGGAAACAATATACAAAATACAATCTACATATCCTGTCTTTGATCATGATATTCTTGAATTTTGTGAAATGGAAAGAAAAATGAGAAAGCAATTCAGAATCAGCATAAGCTTGCAATGAACACTTTTTGTCCTTTATTAATAGATTTATAGTTCTAATGACATATGAACTTATTCAGTATTTTCCCTTGGAAAATCAATCATTTCTCTTTGAAGCTCATAATTTTATCTTCTTCAGACTGAAGTTGCAAAAGACGACCTGTGTGCAAATCCTATAAACACCATCTGGTCAAATATTTTATTAGATGAAACGATTCTTGTCTGTTTGATTTTTAAATCCCAATTAACTAGAATTAAGAGTTTATAATATATGCCACTTGGCTTTTAAAAGGAAGATGTTGTGTTTTGTAAAAACTTCTAGAAAGGAGTATGTGCCAAGCATTCCACCAAAAGAATTTCTAATATGCAAATATTATAGTATTCCGTATCATAGTATGGAGGTGTTAACCTAAGAAACCTCATATCCAGAGACAAGTAATTTCACTAACAACAAGGATTGACTCAAGCTAGTATGTCCCAAGGATCTTATATCTACCATTGTCACTGGTCAACATGTATTGCAAATATATATTTTTTGCAGTGTCTTTTCTCTGCTGATCATCTTTGCCGAATATGACTAACATAGCAATCACACGCGAACCAAAATTCAATAACGAAATTTAAACAAAGAAACAACACCACCAACGAAACTCACCTCCCCTGCTAATCCCCTGTTCCACCATTCACACCAATATACCTCCCCTGCTCCTCTCAATTACCCACGTAGCACCACTTCACGCCCCCACAGCGCCACCACCATTTCAATTAACCAGCAGCTTGCCACCTCACCACATCACCAGCTCCAACTCCCACGCATTCCCACACCCAATTAACAAAACCAACCAGCTTAAACCATATTAAATAAAACAACAAAGGACTAACTAATGCATATTCATTACTCAATTGAAACTCAAATATTGCTAAGTAAAATTGAAAAACACAGCTTAAACCAAAGTTATTAAGTTAAGACATATAAATCAGTAATCCTTAGCTTAACCTCAATCAAAAATCGATTATCAATTATGTACAATTGATACTTACCTTCTTCGTTCGTCGTTAACATGTTGAAGAATGAGTTTAACAACCCACATTACATCCTCTTCTCTACAACCACTCACAAAATTCACCCAACCAACCACCGGAAACTCGCACCGGTGCTTCGGCACCATCATCGCATACACCGCCGCCACAATCGCCGCCGCAAGGTACACCGGCTATTCCACGAACATCCGCAAAATCTCATCGTTCTCGTACATTAAATCTATGACATCGCAACAAACCTCGATGCTCACCATCTCACCAACCTTAGCCACCTCTTTAAGCTTCATCATCAATTCTTCAATCACCAAAAACACCGAATTCTTCATGGTTCGTGCATAATAGTTGTTTTTCCATAGTATCATATATATACCATATCATTCTTAATCCAATGCAATCCAAAGGCTAACAAATATACTAGTCTAGCAATGACATGTTCATATTTTTTCGACTATGTGCAACGATTTGAGTAGTGCCTGCAAATTAGATCTAAACTAAGCATGCATAACCTCGACGAAAATGTTTGCAGCTATCTAATACACTTAGGACCTTTAATGTCTTCATAATTCACTAAAATTGTGCAATCATATGTTGTAATATATAATCATTTTCAATTGATTATACTGCAATTAATTGATGAATAAAACAGAGACTTCATAATTTTTAGAGACAGAAAGCTTGTGAAAAGAAGAGAGAGAAAAGCACAAACGTGTTTGGCGAGGGAGATGAAACAATGGAATTTTTTTTTTTTTTACCAGTCGTTGGATTGTTTTGTGTGAATGGCTAAGATTCCTTCTCATTTTAAGATCCTTTTTATATATATATATATATATATATATATATATATATATATATATATATATATATATATATATATATATATATATATTTATTTGTTTGTTTGTTTTCCTTAAGATTTTTAAAAGGTTTTTAAAAGAAAAAGTAATGAAAACTAAAAAGTTTTATGTACTGTATTAAACTATTTTGCAATAAGTATTTAGGTTTTTTTTTTTAAAAAAAAATATGAAAGGGAAAAAAAGTTTAGGTGGGAAAAAAATGAAGGAGAAGCTGACACATGTACAATTTGAAAAAAGTGATGATATCAGCGGTTGTTATTTTAGTAATATTTATAGATTGCCGCTTTCCTCATGTTGCCGATAATGCTTCTCTGCTGCGTCCGACAGTGCTGCCCTTGCTGCTTCACATTTTGCTCCGCTGGAGCTGTTGCTGCTTCTATTCTTGTTGTTGTGATACTCCAATTGGAATTTTTTTTCAAGTGTAAATTTACAAGTTATTAATGAAAACATATGTGTTTTTATGTATATTATTGTATAAATTCAAGTGTATGTTGGTCAATTTAGATGAAAAAAACAAAAAAAAAAAAAATAAGGCATAAAGGGCACCGGTTCACAGGCCAAATCAGTGCCCTTAACTAATGTAAAGGGCACTGGTTTTTGAACTGGTGCCTTTATTATTTGGTTTGTCACCAACTACATCAACACCAGTTCAAAACGTGCCTTAAGGGGGTTTTGAATCGGTGGCCATTTAGTTTTTCTACTAGTGGTACTTATTGAATCTTCTCAATAAATAATTTATTAATATTCAAATGTCAGAATTTATTGTATTCTCCGTACTTATTTATAATCAAAGATATTATTGGTCAAAGTTCTGCATCGAAGCAGAACGAAAATAAGGTAAATTGAACAGAATGTAAATGAGTGGAACTTCCAAAATCAAATAAAACTAGATGAAACCCTTTTTTTTTTTTAAATAAATATTTTTTGTATTTATGTGATATTGTTATTTTATTCGTTGTGCGTAGTATATCATCTAATATTTTTATTTTAAAATAATTTATGAATTTTCTCTCATTTTTTATATATTTATTTAGATAAAATTGCTTATTTCAAAAAATAATTTATATTTAATTAATTAAAACTTTAAAATCTCATTCGCCAATTTTGCTTATGTGGCATTTGAATTATTTAATTCTAAAAGAATAAACAAATCTCTTATTTAATTGGCTATAACTAACATTTATAATTCTACATGGAACGTTAAAAAAATTTAATCCTACGTAATTAAATAAAATATTAAATTAAACAATAATAAAACCGGGTATGACACAAGATTAAAACAAGTTACATTCGTTACGGATCTCAAATAATATGCAGCCGGGGCTTCATTAGCCGCCTATCATATCCTTTTCCCACAAATTCTACCTTTTATGACTGCATGAATGACAAAACTTCTTGACTTCTACTACCTCCAATTCCTTGTACTAGTCTTCATCCATAATTCCATTTAGAAACGTATCGTTGTTCTCCCCTCATTCATTCTCTCTCACTCTCTCTCTCTTTCATAGAAGTTAAAGAACATTATTACAATGACTACTACTCCATTTTCATCAATACCCTTGGAAAATTTCCCTTTCTCATTGACAAACATTATTCCAATTTCTCATCATACACCCATCTCTTCTTCTTCGTCGTCTTTGATTGATGTTTACAAGAATGGACTTATTGGGATAAAGACGACGAATACAAAGACAGAGCTAGGGATGGAGATGGATATGAATTTTCAACATGATCATGGAAAAAGATTAGCTCCTAATGAATATGTCGGATCGTCGAGTGGTGGAATCAAAGAGAACAAGAAAGATAACAAGGAGAAAATGAAATTGAGAAGGCATAGGTATGCTTTTCATACAAGGAGCCAGGTTGATATACTTGACGATGGTTATCGTTGGAGAAAATATGGGCAAAAGGCTGTCAAGAACAACAAATTTCCTAGGTAATTTTATATACTGCATTATATAATCAATCAATCATAAATTCTTTATAATTTAATATAAACTATGTGAATTTTATTTATTTTTTTTATTATTTTTTATTTTTGGACAATACATATGTGATTTGTTAAAATTAGTATCAATCAATTTTAATCATTGAATAAAAGATAGTTTAATCTCCATTTAAAAATAAAAAAATAAAAAGTTTAATCAATAACGTGACCCCAATCGTTAAAATTCAATTTAAAGCTAAAAAGTAAATAAGTTTATGTGTGAGAATAATACATTGGTGAATGATTGAAAATCAATCTAAGTTAAATTACGCTATTTTCACTTCACTTGATATTTAGTGAAATTAAATTATTTTTGCTGGAATTAAATTATTTCAAACTTATCATTATCAAATGAATTCTAATATGTTGGTCCTAAAAAAAAAAAATTTCTCGTATTCTTTAGTGGTTAAAACTTGTATTTATTGAATATAACTTATTTTTGTATAATTAATAAATCATTACTTAGGTAGTTTGAACTTAAATTTTATATACATAGAGTAATCACTAAAATTATTTTAAATCCGCTATGTGAATTAAGAAAAATGGCAGTTGCTGATTAGTAAAGTCTTTAAAGTGATACTTAAATTTTTATTTTCATTATTTTTTAATGTTTTAATATTTGTAATGATTAATAATTTTGTAAAAAAAGGGAGAAATTTTTATTTTAATTTAATTTATTTTATTTACACATACTTTTCACTTTTGTGACAAAAAAAACACCTGAGGTTCATGAAGATTCTACGATCATCTTTCTATCTAATTGTAGCTTCGATGACCCAAAGAAATTTCTTATTTATGATTTTCTACAAAGCTAGAATTATTAGCCGGTTAATTTGGTAATAAAATTTACCAACTTTAAGCTATAATTGGAGTTGTTTTATTTGCATCAATCTAATTGGTTATTAATTATATTAAGTCTTGTATCTCATGCTAACCCTCTTGAATGCGTGCTATCTTTTGCATGAAAATGATGGATTCTAATTATATCATTTCAAGAAGAAAATGAAGAGGGCTATCTAATCAAGGAACTTGTAATTGGTATAATATGCATAATCAGCAATATTCGTCGTCGTTAACCAATGACTTTGATATGGCATAATGGAATTTGAACCAACTAATATGAGTGTGTTCTTTTCACTTTACACTTATTTAGATTATTGTCTTATTAAATCTATTTGATGATTGTGATATTGCAACCTAGAATCAGTAGAATGTGAACTAACTAATAAGAGTGTGTTCATTGTACTTTTTATTTGTAAACATATTTGTCTTATTTAAATCTGTTAGAACGTAGTAATTGTTATCAATTTAGGTCCGAACCATACTTTGTTAAGTTTGCTTTAAATTAAACGTGGTTAATTATTATCCCGGTCTTGTCCTAGCACATACAAAGTATAACCTTAAAATGATTTAATTTGATAGCAATTAACATTATTATATTTGTTTATCATATTGCATTCATAACCATTACTATTATATTATATTGTTATTGGGTGAATTGAGATAAATGGGTGTAAGGGGTTACTTAGGAGAAGGGATGATGGAGGTAAATTGGATAATTTTTTTTGTTACATATGCTAACATATCTTAGGTGATCTTCAGAAATGCATAGTTACTTGTGGCCTTGTGGGTAATGTAACTTTCCATATGTTAATTTTTTTATAATTTCAGATGAAAAATTGTGTTACATGAATAGTACCCCTCCGTCTCTAAAAGTTATTTTTGTTTTAACTTTATTCTATGAGATAATTACCATTCAATACAAAAAGCTTTTAGAAATGGGAGTAATATTAGATTGCTCTAATCTTACCCAAAAAAAAAAAAAAAAAAAAAAAAAATCATTTGCATGATCGTCAATAATTTGTCAACTTAATAATGTCAATGACTACGTAGTATATATTATTTTAAACAATAGTAAATAATAACTATATATAGTCATAACAATGAAAAAAAAAATATTTATATAGTCATAACAATGATTTATATATATATATATATATATATATATATATATATATATATATATATATATATATATATATATATATATATATATATATATCAGGTTGCAAGGTGAGCCAAAAAACTACCCTTTGAATAAACCTAACTCTATGTACATTCGGGTGAATAAAGGAGTTGCCATAACAGTAGCTAATTTGAAATTAGATACAACTTAGAAAGCCCGATGAAATTTTTAACTGTGTTTATTTAATTTCAATCTTATTTCAGCTTAGTTACTAGAATCTGTGGATCTTAGCTTTTAGTTGTCTAATGTATGGAATAATGGAAAAGTACACATTTGAATAATCCATGCATCATCGAAACAAAAAATTCTAAAATCAATAGTCTATGTAGCAATCCATTTTAATCCATTTTGGTGCACCGTATATCCTATCTCTTTATTAAAAACAAACTATAGTTTTTTTTTTTTTTTTTTTTTTTTTTTTTTTTTTTTTTATGTGTCAATATTGAATGAAAATATATTTGGTGTGAACAATTTGTGCGATCAGCATGCACCTGTCAAAAATAATTATTTCCCTCCGAATTTTTGTCACAGATTTCCCCAATATGAAGCTCCAATCAAGAACCTTTATAATTTACAAATTAAATTTAAATCATCAACCGAAATTAAATTATTTGTAGAATAATTATTGTACATTAGAGGTGATTAATCAAAGCCCTAATATTGAATTAAACTTACATATGAAATATGGAATATCTTTTATTGATAAATTACTTACTTTATAAGAAATTAACCCTGTTCAAATCATTCAATTAAAAATGTATAAAGGTTACCGTCTATAAATTCAATCTCTTAAAAATTACAAAGTATTATACATCTTAAATTACAATAAAAATGGTTACAAGTTATATACTTACACTAAAAGAGATTAAACGTTACCCTAAATTTAGTTAAAATTTATCTTAAAATGATAATTGTATAAACTAACGTAACCGTCTATAAAATCAATCTCTTAAAAATAATGAAGTATTATACATCTTAAGTTACAATAAAAATGATTACAAATTTTTTATTTGAAATAAAAATCAATCCGTTTTTTTTATTATTTGCATCACTTTCCTGTTATAGATGTTTTTTTTAAATGCATCACTTCTATATTTTTTTAACTTTATACTTTATTTTATCATTTTCCTCTTTTACGTTAAATCCCACTCAAATTATTTTATCATTTCTCTCTCTTTGATGGTCCTCATTTAAATAATAAAAATATATATCCTCTCTCACATATTTTCTCTTTCATGGTCCTCATCATACTTTTACTATAATAATTTATTCACCCACTCACAATATTATATTACTCTCCTAAAACTTTGTGTATTTCCAAGTAAAGCAAAGAAAAAAAAAACGGAAGGAGCATGTACTTACTCCAAAAGAGATTAAAAGTTACCCTAAAATTTAGTTAAAATTTATCTTAAAATGGATAATTGTGTAGAAAAATTACTATACACACGATGTGCCCAAAAGTTAATTACATTGTGTTCGTTCCTCCTTGCATGTTTACTACGTGCATTTTTTCCACGTGTGTGCATCACTAGTTAACATGTTAGTGACGACCGTAAACTTCACAATACGGGCGGTCCAGTGGAGCCGCGTGTGGAGCACCATGCTAAATGCTCTGATCCTAGGTATTACGTAGCAGCATGCCGATGCCTCTCTCTCACGAGTCACAACTAATAAAGCTTGCCTATCTGGCTATCTCTGATAATTGAGTATCCGTATCACACTAATCACCTAACCCCTAACAATTAGATAGCGTGCGCAGGACAACTAACGTCATGCGCCATGTGATTAGAGTCAATATGGAGCAGTGGCGGATCCAAGATTTTCAATTCGGGGGAACAAAATGCTTAACTTACAAAAAGTTTAACAAAAAATAAAAACAAAAAAAAACTCAAACACACAAATTGGTTAATACTTAGTATTAAAATTTCAAATGGTACATTACAAGTACTTGAACCACCCATTTCCATATCATCTTCTTGACTTTGAGGGGAGCTTAATGAAGGGGAGTTATTGGACTCATTTTCATGGAGTTTCTTTCTTTTAAACATGAATTGTCGAAGATCGGGTTGTTTTCTAGTAGCCTTGGATTTGTTTGAATTAGGTGAATCATTTGACATTTCCTAATTAAATTGAAAAATATATATCAATTTCCACAATTCACATCATTGCATACTAATAAAACGGTAAAACCTAAGATTAAAATTGCAATTAAAATTAAAATTCAACAAAGATTGCAATTAAAATTAACAATAATTAAACAAAAATCTGGAAATTAGGGTTAACAATTGTCAATTGGAGATTTCAAATTGGGAATTTCGAATTAGGGTTAGCAAATAGCAAGACATACCATTGATGTTGATGAAGCGAAGACGGCCGAGGCTCGACGGTCAGACGGTGGTTGCCTGGTTGCACGCAGGCGGTGCCGGTGCACGCAGCTAGTGAAGAGGTTGCCGAACTGCCGATTTGCCGAAGACCGAAGTGGTGCTGTGGTGACTTGGTGAACTGGTGAGTGGTGAGGAACTGAGAGCAGCGATGCAGCAGGGCGGTGGTTGCCTGGTTGGTGGAGCAGCGACGCACGCCTCGACGGTCGATCTCAGTGGATGCAATGGAGAATTGGAGGAGTGAAGACTGAGTGTTGTTGGTTGTTCTTCATTCTGTAGCAGTGTCGCGTTTTGCTTTTTTTTTTTTGTTTTTTTTCACTTTTTTTTTTCACTTTTTTTTTTTAAAATGGGGGGACAGCTGTCCCCCCATGTCACTTAATTGGGTCCGCCACTGATATGGAGGCAGTCTCCGTACTCTTTTTCCTGAAATTGAATGTAGGGAGCGTGTGCATTGTAGGAGGTAGGGTTGGATGGGTAGGGAAGCCAATAATTATGAGATAGCTAAGCACCTTGCAAAAGTTACTAATTCAAGTCTTTATTACTAGTATTATTATTAGGTCAACAAAAACGTAAATTTTAACATACACTACAGTCAAGTATAGAGGTGTCAAAAATTGATTCGATCAACTCGAACTGAACTGAATTGACTCGTAAGAAACCCGATTAAGATTTGAAATCATATGAACGCAATAATTTAACGTGAATAAAATTTGAAATGGATCTGACCCGACCTCATCACTAAACGACCCATTTGTCCGAATTGACACATTGAGGATACCTTGCTTGCTAATGAAATGTATAGTTGGCACAATTTAAGGAGATGCATGCACACCTAAGCAAGAGACATCTTTTAACTCATCACATTTGCTAACATGTTTCATGTGTGTCGTATAACGGATGTACAAATGATACGTTCGTAAAATGACTAGATTATACACACTTCGTGTAATACAAATTCATCATCTTATTCATCTAGGATCGATTATGCTTGAGATTAATGGTAAATGGTCTCATAATAGTTTTAATCAGTAATTCATTGTCATGAGAATTAACCATTAGGGTAAAAACTCCCTTAACTTTTCCTCTCCCAAGCTTCTAATGATTTTGACTTATAGAGTTAGACGGAATTGATATGTAAGAGGAATTGTTTTAGTGTCGTTGTTCTATTTTCCTACCTTAAAAGAGTTGATTAATTATCTGAGAATTGATGCATATTTAATCGTTATGACAGAAGCTATTACCGATGTACTCATGGTGGGTGTAACGTAAAGAAGCAAGTGCAAAGACTAACAAAAGATGAAGAAGTCGTTGTAACAACTTATGAAGGAGTACACACACATCCAGTTGAGAGGTCTACTGATAATTTCGAACATATTTTGAAGCAAATGCAGATTTACGTCCCTCCTTAGATATACTTTTTCCATTATTAATTATACCAAAATTCACACAAGATCGACCAAAAATATTTAAAATGGAAGATCTTTATAATACTTCGTCTATCTTTCTGTTTTTTTTTTTTTTTTTTTTTTTCGTTTTCTTAATTTTTGTTCAATGAGTATATAGGTTTTGTAGTTTTTTAATTTATAAACTCAATACTCATAACTATGTTAAAGTTATAAACTCAATACTCATAACTATGTTTGACCAATAATTGTCAAACCTGCCTTTGTTTTTTTATATACACCTTTAATTAATTTGTCACTTGAAAAAGAATGAAAGAGTAGTATCAAACTTTTATGATACTCATTTAAATTTATTTAAGATTAGTACACATGTAATGAACAATTTTTGTTGGATTATTGGTGGTGTGGACTACTTCTATTTGTTACTCTGTATCCGATGTACAAGTTATTCAATATAGGAAAAGTCCTTCCCTTGTTTTCTTCTTTATTCAAAACGCATGTACATGGTTCATTTCAGCTCGATCGATTTGTTTGGTACTATACCTAGTCACATTTCTAAGAATCTGATGTGATTTCACAAATAGTTTTGCCCTAGTTTATACCTAGCCTTCATCATTCTATTCAAATTAAATGAGGTTATGGTCGAGATTTTCGTTTATGCAATAAATTATTATTTTGAGCAATGTACATATACTTTTTTTTTTAGGCAAATGTACACGAACCAGTGCAATTGTATAATACACTGAGAATTGGATATTCATGTAAAAAAAAAAGAAAAAGAAAAAAAAAGGGATTGGATATTCAATCATGATGTTCTAACCACCTAAATGACTATTCTAGTATTCTATCTATCTCTCTCTCTCTCTCTCTTTTTTTTTTTTAAATCTTGATTAATTTCTATTCTACACTTACAATTTTGATTGTGATGGTTTCAAACAACCATAGACAAAATTTAACACTTGTATGTGACATTTCTTGTTTTTTTTTTTTTTTTTTTTTGGTTGGTAAGGAGAATGCCCCTATCGGGCCGAACCTCTCACAGGTCCTCTCAACCTGGATTAGCGGGCTAGGTATTTTGAAAGTGGGGGAGGGGGATGGGTAAGGGAATTTCCACCCCAAAGTGCCTCTAGTGGGGTTTGATCCCACAACCTCATGGTTGTGAGATACAAACATTTCCACTAGACCAAGCTGTGCTTGGTTTGAATGTGACAATAAATATCATGAAATGAAAAATAATGTATACTACTATTCTATGCCACATTCATATACACAAGGTCAAAAAGTTGAATAATTATCAATGTTAGACGACTTTATAGATATAATAATGGGATATATTTTAGGAGATGATAATATTGTGAATATTGTGAAAGTATATCTTAGAATATATTGTGATATTGTGACTTATCTTAGGTTATTTGGCCTTTCCCTCCAAGTATACCTAATTATAAATATTTTATGAGGCCGATGTTGATCAATGAGAATTACAGTGATAATTATTCAATCATAATTTAACATGGTATCAAGAGCCTGAGTGAGATCTAAATTTTTTTATTTTTTGTGCGTGATATTCGTTGTTCACGTACAATTCATGTGAGGGTGAGAGTTCACTGCTTTGCATTTTTTTTTCCTTTGTGAGATAATTAATCATGACTTTTGGGGGCGATGAAGGCAAACCAAAGGTGGACTTGACGTTTCATCTTGGTTCCAGCGATGCTCCGGGGAATGTAATTACCCCTATTCAACTCCGTGGTGACAATTATGATGAATGGGCGAGAGCTGTCCGTACTTCCTTGAAGGCGAAGAGGAAATATGGTTTCATTGATGGATCCGTTGCTAAGCCAATGGACACTGAAAAATTGGAGTATTGGGTGGTTGTTCCCTTGACGTTGGTGCTTGATTGTCGAATACTTTGGACTCGACAATTCAATCTACCCTTGGTGACTATGATGATGCGATTGCTGTGGGATAACCTTCGAAACCGCTTTTGTGTTGTGAGCGGAACTCGAGTTTGTCAATTGAAGATTGCCTTGGCCGATTGCAAGCAAGGCAAATCTGAATTAATTTCTGTTTATTTTGGCAGATTGTTGAAGATTTGGGAGGAACTTACCACTTATGTTTCGGTTCTCGAATGCGAGTGTAGCAAGTGCACATGTTAATATTGTGCAGCAAGTTGAGAAATTAAGGGAGGATGACTACATTCATCACTTTCTAATTGGCTTGGAGTCTTCATATGCTGCTCTAAGGGCACAACTCCTCGCTCAAGATCCTTTACCAACGGTAAACAAGGACTATCAACAGGCCATCCAAGCTGAATGATTGCGTGGAGGGGAGGTTCCCACTCCCAATGAAGACCGCACCAATGTCGTGGCTTTTAAATTGCAGGGAAGCAAATCTCTGACTGAAAATAGCGATAAATTTTGTAATCATTGCAATAGGGAAGGCCATGATGAATCTGGGTGTTTTCAAATTCATGGCTTCCCTGAGTGGTGGGGAGATCGTCCTCGAGGGGGGCGTGGACCAAGTCGTGGCGGTGCGTCGGCTAGTCGAGGTGCAGGCCGCACAGGTGGAAGGGGTAGGGGGGAGTTGCCCCTCCTACTCGCACTAACAAAACAGGCAGACAGCCCGGTTCTCAGCCATCGTAAGGGGCTGCTGCTACTGCTTTTGACGGAGCAGTCCTTGCGGGGGTCACGAGTGCTCAAATTCAGCAATTACTTGATCATTTAAATTCTGTGAAATCTAAGCTTCATGGGAAGAATGATTTGGGTTGGATTATTGACATCGGTGCCTCAAACCATGTGACTTGTGATCTTTCTCTTTTGACGAATGTGACGAATCTGAATCATTATCCGGTGGGATTGTTGGATGGGAATTATGCTAATGCTTCTAAAATTGGATCGGTGATATTGCAAGGAGGCTTAATTATTCATAATGTTCTTTATGTGCCTCAATTGAATTGCAATTTAATTTCGACAACTCAATTATGTGACGAATCAAATTGTGTCATGCAATTTACCAATAAACTTTGTGTTATACAGGACTTAATGACGAGGAAGGTGATTGGAGCGGGTGAAAGAGTAGATGGACTTTATTATTTGCGGGGTGTTCCAACGGTGAAGGCTTTGAAGATAGATGAGGATCATTCAACAAAGTTGTGGCATCAACGATTGGGCATCCTTCGGGAAAACTTCTACAACAAGTTCCGTTTGTGAGTCGTAGTAGTAGTAAATTTCATTCATGTGATGTATTCCCTCGGGCAAAACAACAAAGGAGTAGTTTTCCTTTGAGTCAAAATAAAGCTAGTCGAATTTTTGAGCTAGTTCATTTAGATTTGCGGGGGCCTTACAAGACCTCATCGTCCTGTGATGCTCACTATTTTTTAACTATCGTAGATGATTATTCTAGGGGTGTGTGGACCTATTTGATAAGAAATAAAATGGAAGTTGAGTTTATATTTTACAATTTTGTTGCTATTGTTAAGCGTCAATTCTCTCAAGAAATTAAAATAGCATGTAGTGATAATGGTACAGAATTTAATTCCTTGAAAGATTAAAAATGGGATATATTTTGAGATCTCGTGTACGGGCACACCTCAACAAAATGGGCGTGTTGAAAGATTGCATCAACATATCTTGAATATTGTTAGGGCCTTGCGGTTTCAAGAAAATTTGCCTCTCAAATTTTGGGGGGAGTGTGTGGAGGCGGCTTGTCATTTGATTAATAGAACTCCGTCTCGAATGCTTGATTATAAAACCCCTTTTGAAGTCTTATTTGAAAAATCACCTTCATATGAGTATATTCGGGTGTTTGGGTGTTTATGCTATGCTTAATCTACGAAGTAAGGGTGATAAATTTGCGAGTAGGAGTCACAAATGCGTGTTTTTGGGTTACCTTTCTGGGAAGAAAGGGTGGAGAGTATATGACTTGGAAACAAAAGAGTTCTTTGTATCAAGGGACGTTCAATTCTTTGAGAGTGAGTTTCCGTTGGGTTTCTCAAAATAAGCCTACTTCGATGGTGCTTCACTAGCCCACCTTGGAGGAGGCATATAGTGATGATGAGTAGAGTGAAGAAGGAGTAGTAGGCGTGGGAAAGCAGCCACAAACTGTAGAGTCCGCGACCAGGCCGCGGGAGGAAGTTTTGAGCCACGACTAGGCCGCGAACAACACTGCTTGTGCTGAGGAGCAGGCAACAGCAGGGTCCGCAACCAGGTTGCGCGGGGGAAGAGTTGGGTCGCGACCAGGCTGCGGACAGCCCTGCAAGCCTTGGAGATTTACGAGCTGGTGGTCTAATTGAAGCACAGCAGTAGCACATTCGATTGGGGAGTGAGCAGGACGTTACTATGGGTCATGGTGAGCTCACGGTTGACAGTGATGATACAGCAACATCAAGTGAAAATGTGAATGACTTGGGGAAAGGCAAGAGACAAAAGTTTCCTTCGAAAAAACTTAATGACTATGAGACACACACCATCCGAAATAAAAGTCCATTTACAATTCCAACTCAAAGTTCACCCGTGACGTCACTTCCAAAAGTTTCAGGGAGGCCATGAAACACAAGGGTTGGAGAAAGGCTATGGCAGATGAGATACAGGCTATAACACCCCTACCCCAAACAAATTAGGGATGGGCCTATTGTCACGAAATGCGCATCAAGGGCCAACAACTATCCCCACAAACCAATACAAGTCCTTCCGGCGCATTTTGTCCTCACTCATGCGCACCCCGAGAAAACTTCCCAGGAAGTCACCCATCCCAAGACTACTCCCAGCCAAGCTCGCTTAACTGTGGAGTATCTTAACATATGAGCTCTCTAAAAGGAAGATGCATCTTATTGATATGAGTAATATATCAAAGCCTTTTAAAGCAATCATGAGAGTATTACATGCACCTCCACTTGAGAACGGCAACGCCCTCGTTGCGCTTGGGGAAAGCTAGGGACTCTAGTATTACGCCTAACGACAACTGGGTAGCCAAAGTGTTACATCCAGTCTGGATATGGCCAAATAGCCCCAGAATTCTCCCCCCCTAGGCGACTGACATAGGATTAATTATCCACGATCAGAACGCGGTAGCAAGGTTGCTCTAATACCATTTATAACACCCCAACCACAAACAAATTTGGGAGGGGCCTATTATCACATAATGTGCATCAAGGGCCAACAACTGTCCCCACAAACCAATACAAGTCCTTCCGACGCATTTTGTTCTCACTCATGCGCACCCCGAGAAAACTTCCCAGGAGTTCACCCATCCCAAGATTACTCCCAGCCAAGCACGCTTAACTATGGAGTATCTTAGCATTG